GAGTCCAACATAGGGGTGGGAGTTTAACTTTAACTTTAACGTTAAAGGCAAAGTTAAAGTAACATACTTTAACACTTTAACACTGTAACGTGAAAGCAAGGGAGAAATCACGTACTCCCGTACTCCATGTACTCCGCTGTACTCCCGTAGTTCCATTGTACTCTCTGGACTCCGGGAGTACACCGAAGTACAAGGAGTCTGTGAGATACAATTCTTATGTAGGAGACCGTATCATAGGTACCTTCGTCAACCACCTTAAATATTCCTATTTCTCAAGGAGAAAACCATGTACTCCAGTACTCTCTATACTCCGCTGTACTCCCGTACTTCCGTTGTACTCCCTGGACTCCGGGAGTACAATGGGAGTACATGAGAGCTCAGCAAGGAGGAAAACACGTACCCCCGTGCTCCCATTGTACTTCCATACTCCCATTGTACTCTCTGGACTCTGGGAGTACACCGAAGTACAAGGAATCTGTGAGATACAATTCTTATGTAGGAGACCGTATCACACGTACCTTTGTCAACCACTTTAAATATTCCTATTTCTTCTTGAATGGGATACTCATGTCCTCATGGTCTATGCTTTTTGGGCACCCATAAGTCCCCATGGCCTATCCTATGGGATACCCATAAGTTCTTATGACCTATCTTTTGGGGGTACCATAAGTCTTTATGGCCTATCCTATGAAGGTACTCATAATTCACCAAGGGCTATTGATGTTCGGTATTGTTAAATTTTCAAGCACTGTCTTGCGGTAGTTCCAGTTACTCTTCAAGCATCATTTCGTGGAGGGATATCGGATACCGCTAACTGTTAAAGAGATATCTAGCGTTAATCGTCATAGATTTTCAAGAGCTTCTAGGTAGGAACGCAAACTGTGATAAGAACGCCACTCACACGCAAGGAGAAAACAGCAGACTCCCAGATTTCGTACTCCTAGGGATTCCTCGAAACTTCCAGGGACCCCTTGGGACTTCCGCGGACTCCTCAGCTTCCCAGGATTTCATGAGATTTCTTCGAATTTCGAGGGACTTTATGGGACTGTCTGGGATTTCCCGGGATTTCCTTGAATCTCCTTTGGGTCTTCTCGCTACTTTGGCATAATCCGAAGTAGCAGCACCTACATGCATCATACTGATCTGACTGTTCAGATCAAAGGTTAAAGGTCAAAGGTTAAACACTAATGAAAAGAAACTAATGTGTAAAGAGCTGCGCTCCTGTATTTTATGGGAGTCCTTGGAACTCTTTGAGATTTCTTGGGAGTCCTTGGAACTCCTAGGGACTTCCAGGGACTCGTGGAGTACGGAAGTCTGCTGTTTTCCCTTGCTTATAGTACTCCCATAGGATAGCTCATCAGGACTTATGGGTACCTCCATAAGAGAGCCCATGTGGACTTATGAATACCCCTATAAGATACATCGTACTTCCGGAATTTCAAGGATTCCCATTGTACTCTCAGGGATCCAGAATCTTGGAAATTCTCTTTTTCCCCTTGCGTTCGACTATAAGAAAGACGAAAAGAGGAATGCGACGTCTCGTCCACTAGATACCACCCTAGTTGCTTTATCTACTAAACAACCTATTATTCGAGGGGAAAACGGCTGACTTCGGATCCATCAAAAGTGCCAAACACGTATTAAAAGCATCGGAGTTGGCTCACGAGAATCGCAACAAGACTCAGAATATCAAAATTAGGTATGGAGTATGACTTGAAGTATCGGAGTATTTGTCAGAGTATTGGAGTACGCCCGAAGTATCTGAGTTTGGGGAAAATACCAAAGGATGAACTCATTTTGAGGTGTTTACAGTTAATTACTTCGTTGCTTCTTTTCGATCATTATGATTCTCAAACGTGAAATGAAGTGTGGTGAGAATTACAGCTATTGACTACTGACTTGAGACTCCCATACTGCGATACTTCAATAATACTTCGATACTCCGGCTTGTATTCCAGTACTCCGATGATACTCCGACGATACTCCAGTACTCGAAGCTGAAATCCAACGCAAAGAGTAAAGTTGATAATTTGAATAATACTGCTGAGACACATGATGGAAGATGGTAGATTCTCACTGAAATATCCATTGCGAACAACACAAAGCATGTCTTAGCTGCTGGAGTACGATGAGAAGTACGATCCGAAGTACCGGAGTACCAGCTAAAGCATCGGAGTATCTGAGATCCCGGAGTACCGTTTCCCCTTGCTATTATTCGAGGTCGTTTAAAAATTAAAACAAGGAAAAAACCAGTCTTGCAATACTTTCTCAAAAAATATTCGGAATAAACTATTACGTTCGTTGTACTCCCATGTACTCTCTGTACCCCGTGAGTACTCGTAGTACGGGGGTACGTGTTTTCCCCCTTGATTCGAGGTCGTTTATAAATCAACAAAAGAAAAAGAATCAATCATGCAATGCTTTTTCGAGATATATTTGGGGTCGATTTGTGGCACATTATTACGTTCGCTGCGTTTCCTTGTACTCCCATGTGTTTCCTTGTACTCCTATGTACTCCCATGTATTTCCTTGTACTCCAATGTATTCTCTTGTATTCCCATGTATTCCCCTGTACTCCCCTGTACTCCCTTGTACTCCCATGTACTCCCTTGTACTTTCTTGTACTCCCATGCATTCCCTTGTACTCCCTTGTACTTTCTTGTACTCTCTTGTACTCCCTTGTACTCCCATGTACTCCCTTGTACTCCCATGTACTCCCTTGTACTCGGAGTACGGGAGTACGTGTTTTCCCCCTTGAACAATATCTACTCACAATCTCACTCAAATCCTCGCTCATCTGTACTAACACCCACACATATTCCTTTTAAATCATGTTTTACAAGTGCTAAAATAAATATTCAATCAAAGATTTGAATGAGAAAAATAAACTTTTTATTAATGATTAAATACTAAGGAAGAAAATAATCAAAATTATTCAATGAGTACATTTTATATCGAGTGAATATAATATATAGAAGATCAAAACCAAAGACAAAATCTTCTTATTTGAATATCAACTCGACTATTAGGAAAACGTCTTTGAATCATAGAACGGTAAGGTTCGATTTTTTGACGATCAATTTGACCATAAATATCGAGAAAAGTAAATTGTTTTAATTGTTGAATTAATTGAGAAAGATCATATTCAAATATGAAAACATGTTCAGCTAAAAAAAAAAAGAACTTTTATTATTCATTTAAGTCCAATTGATTTCCATACCAATTGATTTAGATGTTGTTAAAGATTTTAACCATTTATCAGTCAATTTTTGACGACGATATTCCGTTCGAAATTCTGGTCGAACTTGAATATAA